CAAGGCCTGGGACCCTCCCATGTCCTCCTGCCTCCTGGGGCTCTCTCTGCACGTGGGAGCGCGGCCCTTTCCATGCCGTGGGGGATTCTGCCTTCCAAGTGCTGGAGACCCTTAGATTTCCTCGCTGGCAGCCTGGAAATAATTAACCTCCCCCCCACCTTAAAAGAAAAAAAAAATCCTGCCCTACACACTTAGCCTGTTCTATCACCCCTGTATTTTACATGATGTTTATGTGATTTTATTTTGCTTTCTAGATTTCAGAGAAGACACTTGTATAAAACTGAGTAGTCTGTTATTGCAGAGCTTTAACTGGGGTTGGGTGAGGGAAAAACATCAGCACTGCAGCGCTCCGGCATTTATCTAGGGCATTCTTAACCCTCCTGGCTGCTTTGCTCTTAGCATCCAGGATAAGAATGAATGCCAGAGAAAATGTTGATTTATCCAAAATGTTGAGCTGTTATCCCGTGGCTCTTCATTATTTCACATCTTCAACATTAGTTTAAATATTTCAATGATTGATGGAAGTCTTAAATCTAGCTAAGCTAAACTTCCGTGGCAAGTAAACATTAAGGAATCAGTACTTTGATTAATGAAACAGTCCAAAACAAATTACTTGAAAATGAGTATCTGCCTGATGATGTTAAAATATAGCTTAAATATTTTGGTTTTCTCCTGATAGGCTGACATTGGGAATGACCAGTTTTGATGCTACCAGCCATTTTTTTCCCATTTTCTACAAGCAGTTTCACAGCACATTATGTTCTTCAAATTCTGCATTTTCATCCATTGCTTTTTTATGTAGGATTATGGAAGCATATTTTTGTGTCTATTTTCTAAGTATTTTTACCCTGCAGTGCAAGTCATTCAGTGACAGTTTGAAAGTAATTTGGCACGATTTGTTTTACAGAATAAAACTTATTACTGACAGTTTGATCAACAATGTTTTTATTCTGATGTTGCTAAATATAGGAAGAGTCTTAGGTGGAGACAATATCGGACTGTTTTTTTTTGTTGAAAAAATTAAAACAATTTTTTGCATCCTGTAAAAATATTATTTGATAATAATTCTTTTCATTATCTGAGCTTCTACCAAGTAGTCTTTTGATCAGACTTCAGACTTGCACTGCACTGGAAACCCTGAAGGGGATCTCTGGGATTAACTAGTCTGGACCTGGGATTAATCATTTGCCATTTGCTGTTGGGTCATGCTGTACAAATATCATCTGTAATATTTGCCAAAAATGACTTGAAATGCAGTAGTCAGTTGAGCACTAGAGCTGCTAGTAGGTCCTTAGAGGAAGATTCATTGCTTGTCAGATCATAGTAATAGTGTTTTGTGGAAGACCTTTAGACTTTTCCATAACAGCAAATCTTTGCAACTGACGTTTTTAGGATGGGGTGATAATGTAGTGTAACTACAATTCCTAAAGGACAGTGCATCTTGCACATCGGTGTATTGCTCATCTCATGAAGTCAAGCAGAGACTGAAAAATGAAAAAGCAATTTAGCTGTCCCAGTTATATTTTGCATTGTTTTGGGGGGAGTGTATCAGGACAACAGTTTGATTTACAAAGACCTTAGTCAAAATAGGTTGGCCAGACTCAGGTTTCAGGGGGAGAAGTTGTTGTTTCCTGGGAATTTTTGAAAAAAAACTTTGAGCTTTGGGTTTTTGGTTGTCTTCATCTTATTTATTTGCAGGTTTGGTGTTCTTTGAGTCTTTCAGTGTTCCTAGTCTTGGTGCTTACCCATAATTTAATCTGGGAGCCAGCAGAGAGCAAAGCTGTAAACATCTGGAGCTGCTTGGTCTCAAAAGCTCCGTTTTAAGATGACTGGATTTTAGATGTATTTCCATAGCCAGAATGTCGGTCTCTTCCATTGACTTCCAAGCACGTTGTGATGCTCTGGAGAGCTGCATGAGAGGAGAGCTCTAGGTGGGCTTCCCCGCAGGGCAAGATGCAAGTGGCTTTTTGGTTCTGCCCCTGTGTGGGGCTGGATGTGAAGCTGCTGGGGCACCCAAGGACTTGTACGCCCAATGTCCGTTCCGCCTTGACACTTCCCTCCCAACACGACAGTTCCTTCTATAAAAGAATACTTGTTAGCTCCCTCTCCTTTCTTTAGGTTGATACTGTCTTTAGAAAGAATAGAATCTTCTAATTTTCTCTGTAGGGGAGGACTTCCTGAATGTCTGTTAGAGCTGTGTTGTTGTTTGTTTGTTTGGGAGGGGGGTTGTTATTTTAGTGAGCAATCTTATAAAGAGGTCTGTAAAAATACCATTAAAAAAAAAAAACTAAATAGGAAAATTTTGTACTCGTTCTTGAAAGGTTCTTTAGATCAATGTGCAGTTTTAAAATCTCGATGTCACTTTGAATTCCATCATTGGGCTTAGATTATAATGTCTGATCTCACCCACGTGCAATCAGTGGTCAAAAGCTTTTCTTAAAAGGTTGTAGTTACCTGCATTTACTTTATTTCTTATCATTACTTTTTAAAATCTCTGAGTGTCTAGACTGGTGACTAGTATCTAGTGTAAAGTTTTAGAAGATGCCATAGTACATGTGAAGAAGGCAGGACTTTCTCTTGAGACTGATGTGAACGTGCTAAGCTGTAGCACCTTGTACTTCCAATTGATTGACGTTTTCAGTGAATGCAGTGCAGTTGCAGTGGGGCTTATTTTTAGTTGGGAGATATTTCAAATAGTTTTTATTGTTTATTATTTCATCTTTAAGATCTAATGTATAGTGGAAATAGGCTTGTATAATAGTGCAGTTTAAAGTTTTGTGCAAAAAAAAAAAAAAAAGAAAACTTCTGAAAACTTGTGCTGGACTGATGAAAAGCACCAACTTACAGAAGATGAATTTGTTTTCAATACTGAAAATAACCAAAATGATAAAATGATACAAACCTACAGTTCTATATGATATGTATATATATTTTTCCGTGTATGATGTTGCAAAATTTTGCACACAGGCCAATAAGTTGTCGAATTCAAGCATTAAGGATTAATAGGGTCTCACAGAAGATAAAAAGGGTGATCACATAGTTACAATGTGAACTCTTTGAACTCTTTTTATATAAGAACACTTGATCTTGTCTACAATTTTCACATGTTAGATTATCAAAACTATGAGATAGTATTTCTGAGTGTCTTCATCACATGGACAGTCTCCAATTCTTAGCTCATTTTCATTAAAATTGCTAGCTTTTTTTCTGTGCTAGTATAAAATATCTTTACACCCCCCTAAAGGCATTAAAGCAGAGCTTTATATCATTTTAATTACACTGATGCTGTTGTAGAGTTACAGTTTCCTGTTGTAGACAGGCTTTATGTCTTTGCTGGATGACTAAATCTGTGAGCACTTCTTCCCCTCATTTTTTTTTTTTTTGTTTTCCTTTGGCATTTTATTTTAAAAATGTTTGATCCGATCTTGCTTTTGCTGAGGGATGATGGGAGGCTATACCTTTTTAACTAGTTCCCAAGGCTTTTTTATTTGTTAGAAAGCAGCTGGAAAAGTATTCTAGATGCAGAGTGACCTGCATTTTCTGCTGGTCTTTCAAAATGGTTGTGGCTTAAAGTTAGATATCCTTGTAGTGTTGCTTATCTTTGTTAGAAATTAGTGTAAAGAGATTCTGTGCTGCTTCCTCTGGTCCTGTTCCTTCTCCCTGCCTCTGCTGTGCATGCAGGTACGACACCCTTCAGGCTTGGCACCGTTGGTGTTCGCTGTAGCCAGCAGGAGAGTTGCCAGTTTGAGCAGTGTCCCACTGGTAGCCCTCATTAGCCCTCTAAATGGTATCTCCTGCAGAGAGTGGGTTGCAGTCCTGTGCTCAGTCCTCAATGTTTAGAGCATATTTCTTCTTATTTCAAAAATAAGACTGTTCACATTTTTGTACTGAAATCTAAAGACTGTTTTTTAAATGCAGAATTGCAAATTAAAAATGTGCAATGTTTTTATCCTTACAGGAAGGAAGAAACAGAAACTTGCCAAAGAGAGAGCTGGGCTTTCCAAGGTAATACTGTCTTTGTAATGCAGTGCTGTATTTAAAGGTGTCTCATTTGTACCAGGGTTATTTGGGAGATTTATTTAAAGGCTGAGTTCTCAGTTGTTGCTTCCAGCATTTCAAGCCTTTCTGTAAATATCCAGTCTTTATTTTCGACTTTCACAGAAAACCATACGAAAGGATTATTCCTTCTTTGTGTCAGATAAAGGCCTTGTAAGAGACTGTGGCATTTCAGATGTGGCTTAGTAGTGTTTTTCCTTTGTCCATAAGCACTTTTTAAATATAAAAACCATTGGAGGGATACATCTGTGATTGAACTTAAGAATTCTTTGCTAGAAGCATTTGATTTGCTTCATGTTTTCCCATGTTGCCAAGGGATCATGTAGGAGGGGCTGCGTCTCTCTGTCCTGCACATGAGAAATACAGATGTGATAAACATAACACACCATTGAATTTATGTTTGCTTCAGTTATCTGCTTAAGCAATTGATTTTCAAGCTCCATCTCCATATACATATGTGATGCAATGGTTTGATTTGCAACACTTGCATATATTTAATATATAATATACACTTAGTTTACTTTTTTGCTGATTTCTTCACGAATATATAGTTCTCGGGTTTTGATTTAAGTTGGGGATGTTTTCTGCCAACTTGTTTTTTAAGCAATGTTTGTGGGCTAATGCAAGTTTTATTGTGTGTATGTGTGTGTATAGCTGCCTGATCTGAAAGATGCTGAAGCAGTTCAGAAGTTTTTCCTTGAGGAGATTCAACTTGGAGAGGAACTACTAGCTCAAGGTAATTGCATAGTTCTTTTTAAAGGGTAAGCTGTAAAACCATTATTCTTCACATTTGCTGAAAGATGATTTCTGAGTACTGAGATGTTTTTGGAAGTTAAATTTGTCTTAAAAATCAGTTGCTTGTTTTTAAGCTCCACTCAGAAGATTCAACAGGGAGAAGTGATGAAATGCGTGCTTTGATTCTCAGCATATTAATCCATTTCTGATGGTTGCCTTCACACTGCCTAAGAAGTCTGATTTCGGAATACTGCCTTTTGTCCTGCAGGTGAATATGAGAAGGGCGTTGATCACTTGACCAATGCTATTGCTGTGTGTGGGCAGCCACAGCAGCTCCTGCAAGTTCTACAGCAGACTCTTCCTCCACCAGTGTTTCAAATGCTTCTAACTAAGCTCCCTACAATAAGCCAGGTATGTGCAACTTTTCCTGTTGTTGAGGTTTGAAAGTAGTTGAACTCTTTGTGTTATTCACTAGGTAAGTCTTGAGTATTGCATAAGTTTTTGTAATAGGGCAGTATTTACTCTGAAACTTAAACTTGCATGGTATTCTTCATATCATTTTTAATAGCAAACAGTATACAATAGAAATACAAAACTTCTCATGCTTGGATCTTTACTAAGCTCTTCTAAAGCCGAGTCATTTGATTCCAGCTCTGATGCCTGTCTGTAAGCAGGTCCACTATTTCCCAGATGCAAGTTGTGGGTCAGAAAAAGGATAACTTTCTTGTATTGGATCTTGATTTTTATTTTTATAATTAAGTATCTGTGGTGTTACACAACTCCATCAGAATTAGTCTGTTGGTTTTGCTAGCCTAGTGCTTGTGGGCCTGCTATAAACACAGTGTTAATTAACAGCAGAACACATCACTGTTTTGAAATCTTGGGGGGTTTCCTGATAACAAAAGTGCTGGTAACTCTGTGTAAAATGACCTTCGTTTTTACACTGAGTGCAATGCAGGTAATTTGGTAATGCGCTAACAGGTGAGTCTGCTCTAATTAAATAATAAAAGTTCTACTTTCTTGAAACTGTAAGGCTGTGCCCTAATGGTGTTACCTTACAAAGAGCAGAGACTCAGTACTGTGTTTCAGTCAGCTCTCTCTTTACAGCTCAGGCTTGGTTACATTTCAGTTTGTGGTCCATTTAGTGAGTAAAAACACTGAAAAGCACCAGGTGCAAAAGAGGTAATGGTCTGGGAAAGCAATGGAGCAAAAATATTTCAGTAGAGAACAGTGCCAAAATAACATGGAGGTCATCATTTAAGGCTGTCAGAATATTATTTATCTGACTTTGACTTTGTTAGGTTTTGCACAAAGTATAGTTTTTGGAGAACTGGCTTCAAAAATCATGTCAAATAGAGTATGTTTTTTAACACTTTAATCAAATTTAATTCAGTAATTACACTGCTTGATGTTCAGTGTAAAGTTACATTGCTTGATAATCAGTTGCCTACTGTCAATTTTATGTGAATGAGTTTTTCTCCTTCTTACAGAGAATTGTAAGTGCACAGTGCTTGGCTGAAGATGATGTTGAATGAGGTCACACCACAACAGGGGGGAAAATTGTTTTCTTACCCCAGAAGATGAGCATCAGTAGGGGGTATAAAGGGGCAAACATAATAGTTAAATGGACTGTGTACCACACTGGGTTCTACCAGAGTTAAAATTAACTTTGTGTAGGTGGGTTTCGCAGGATTTTATTTATTATCCCAGTGAAAAGTGTATTTTGATAAGAATTCATTTTATAAATACACTGTGTTGAGTTATCAAAGTATCACTAATTTCATTATTATTAAAATATGCAGTTGTAATGTTGTACATATAAAGACATAAAACTACGACCTATTGAAAACCCAATGCTCATTTTTGAAAAAACAAAGTTATGGCAATAAAGATTTATCTGCACTTGTGTGTCCCTATAGTGCTACTTTAAACCTCCAAACCTTGGGGTGTGAGAGCAAACAATCTAAAAAGGAGTTAACATTAAAAAGTATTTTTAATGTTATGGCTGGTCTTCCAGTGGTTTTAGTACCTTAAGTTTAAAACCTTGTGTAATTTTCTGACAAAATAGACATGATCATTTAAACAGTGACTGTTCACTCTAAAAAGCTGCAAAAACAGAATGGTGATAGGTGACTGCCTGCAGGAAGAATGACAAACCTATTTCTGTCAGGAACAATGACATCTGTGCTGCAAGTCAAACCTGTATCTGTCAAACATGAAAGCTTTACTAATGCAGATATTTTTGAAATAAAGGTGTTTGGAATAGAACCTTGGACAGCTTTTAAAATAGAGAGTGTTTTCCCTGAAGCTTGAAACCTTTTGTAAGGTAGACAGATAACATTTCAGTCTCTAATCTTCAGAGCCATAGAAAATAATTGCTAACAATTTTGACATTTGCCTTAAAAATTTCTGTGCTGATGCAAGTTACAAAGGCAAGACAATGATACCCTCAGAGTAAGTTTGTTAGTAATAATAGATTTAGAAAGGCGTCATAAAATTTCAGTGCAGAGTGATACTGTAAACGTGAATTAAGTAAGTTTACCAGTGAAAGGGAGGCAAGTAATGTAGCAACTCTTGTTTCTTGTGGAAGTATTCTTTTAAAAACAAGTTTTCCATGGGTAGAATGTCCTGAATTTCCTGAATTAAAGCAGATTGTTTCCTGCTGTTTTCAGGGTTTGGGTTTTCGTTTGTTTGTTTGTTTTTGCTGTTGCCATGCAGGTAGCAGAGGAAGCAATTAAAAATGCAGCTTTGTGTTTTTGACATGTATTAAGTTAAGAAGAACAAAGGAAGAGAATGCTTCAACATATCTCTCTGACAAGTGGTAATTTTGCTAATGATTCACGTACATTAATAGTAAGATACTGTGTGGAATTAATCCAAACAGAAGTGACGTTCTCTGAGAGAGCATTAGCCAACGTTCCCATCTCTGTCTCATTTCAGCCTAGTAAAGGTTTCTACAAAGGCAGATTCTTTCAAACCGTAGATATCAATGTTTCAGAAATTGCCTCGCACAGGATATTTGGGAGGTTAAGTGGATAGATAGTTCATGGTTACCTAGCAATCAAACACTTGAATTGGAAGTACAAATAGCTCTGAGCCAATCTGCTTAGACCATTAGATTTGCTGTAGAATGGTTATTTACCCCTTAACCTCTTCAAGATGCCATTTCCCAAGATTTTGAAGTATTATTGAATCTTTATATAATGGGATAAATGCAGAAGTTAGAGGTTGGTATAAGCAAAAAATTCTTGAAGAGCTGGCTATAATCTAGTGTTTTTGTTGCGTTTGGATTGCAGTAGTCGTAATCTTCAAGTGACAATAGCCGGTTTGCTCTTTTCCTTTTAACTTGCTTCAATTATTCAGAAGTTACTCTGCACCTAGAATTTTGAGTTAAAAATACTCTGAAGACTGTTATGTTTAAGAGGTGCAGTTTGGTCTTTTTTCAGTGCCTTTTACTTTTTAATCTTTGCAGTTTTCTTAGAAATAGTCACAAATTAAGTTCATAGAACTGTTCCTGTCCCTTGTGCTGTTACTCTTTTCAGTTAACATCTCTTTAGTTCAACTTGAACCCCCTTTTTAAGCATAAGGTAAATCAAACCCTCTTTCTCCCTCCATGTCTCTAAAAAATAAACCAAAACAACACAAGTGAAAAATAGCACCCTTCCGTTGTGCAGGGGTTTGTAAGCTTTCCTTTGTATAAGGATGCTGGTTTGAGTTCATAATAAAAGGTCCCTTGCAGTAAGTATTTTTTGGAAACCAAAATTCTTAAATCCTTCTGCTTTTGTTGGTGATCTTGGCGATAGTCTGACAAATGTCCATTTCTTTAATTAAACTTGTAGCCGTCTGTTAACCTAACTTTAGTTACATTTCTTTTTCTCAAGGTTAAATGCAAACAAGTTTTTAGATAGCATAGGTTTAAATGAAGTCTTTAAAAGTGCAAATTTGTCCTTGTCTTTGATAATCTATTTAAATAGTGCTTAGCTCTTATGCTAGTGCAAACACTGATAGCTGTTTTGTCTTCAGCTTATAGGGTGGGAATGTTGAATCTTTGTAAGAATATTTAGATTTTTTTTCCCCAAAATCTGATTAAATGAATACGTTTCAATTTCTGAATTTTGAAGATGCTGTTTAGAATTGGAATTTGCTTTCAGTCCAAGAATGGTAACCAGTTTCAGACATAAGAACAGTGCAGGTCACCAGAAGTGCAGGGATAATGATTGACACTGCAGCATCAGTAGCTGTGCTTATGACCTTATTTGTACTTGTGCAAATTAAAAAATGGTGAAAGTGAGCCATACCGGTGTTGGTTTAGCTGCTTGTGAGCTCACAGCTACTGGTCCGTTATATCTGCAGTCTTACTTTACTGCAGGTAAAACTGTTCTTCCTTCCCCCAGAAAGAGACGTTGTCCATTTTTGACGCTGCGTTCCCCTTCCAGGAACGAGGCCCTGATTTTTGGTGTGTATGGCCACTGAGAGGATTTCTCATAAAGGAAATCGGAAGCCTATGGACACAAATTGAGGAGTGTTCTCATCAGGTTTGAGCTTTTCAGGCAGCTATTCGAATTAAGCAACAGGTGATTTCTTAGTCATGCAGGACTACCTTTTGGTTAGGTTCTCACCACTGAGTTTTTTAGGTAATGGGTTCTAATCTAAAACCAGTAGGTGAGCAGGCACTTAAGGAATTGCCTGGCATTTATTTCCTTACCTTGGGAAGGAATGAGAGAATATTGCCCTTAAGTTGAAAAATGCTAAAGTCTCAGCCCACGTGTTTGAGGCCAACTAGCATGTACGTGTAGCTTAAGTTATTTATGCACCCAAAAGTACCTAAAGCTTGATGAGTACATGGGTGGATGGCTTGTTGAAAGGCCCTTAGGTTGAGAAAGGCCCTTACATGGAGTTAAACTTCAGGTGGATCTTTGAAGTGGTCACTAGGTGCTTTCAATGAGTGTTTAAGGGTGTATGTCCTATGCACCTGTTCCTCTATTTTTTTAAGGGATTTAGGGAAAAAAAAAGATAATTTCTCAAGGTTTTTGTTATGCCCAAATCTTGCTTTGGTTTTAAGAGTATGTGTTTACATTGACTGATATGGTCTGCTTAACAGAGTGAACAAAAAAGTCTGCATACAGCAGTCAGATCCAACCCAAAGTCTTTCATCCAAAGAGCTGAAACTTGCACTTACCTCCTAAGCACTGAGCTGGCTTTCATTGCGGGCACTCGGAAACTTCTGCTCTCAGAAAGCAGAACTTGCCATGCCTCGACTGTTGAAATGTGTGTGTGGAGTCGCAGCAAACAGCTGCCTCTTGAGTGATGCTTCTGTGTCAATCTGGAAGTGGATGGTTAGGGTTTTTTTTCCAAAGTCCATTAGTTTCCGTATGTACTGAGAAGAAAATGGAGATTCTCACTTCCCTGCAGTGGGTGCTTGACTTTGTTATAGAGCTTACAGGCACTAGCTTTACAGCACTGTTTAGTGGCTGTCTTTCTGTGAGGTCACTGCTTCCTGGGTTTTCTGGTTCCTGCCACAACGCAGTAGTCATGCAATCTAAAAATCCTGTGTTTTATGAGCTTTTGACTGGACATGCATAGTTCAATTGGTCTTGTGTAAAGGTCTGGCCTTGATTTAATGGGTTGATAGGTGTGTGTCTTCCTGCAGCCCTCACAAATACCATCATTTCCCTTCTACCCTGGCGATGTTCTTGGCTGATTCTCTTTGATGGGTAGAGTACATCTGCCCAGGCTTCTTTGTGGTAGGTGCTGCATGGGGGAGTTTTGCTGGGACTAGTTCAGTATTAGAGCCTTTAAATCTATCCAGCTGCTCTGTGCTGTAACACAATTGTGTGTGGCTTTTAAGTGTGAAATTTCTACCATGCATGGAAACAGAAAACAGCTGAGGCCTCATAGTCTGCCTCTTTCCACATCTTGGGCCCTTGCAACTGCGAAAACAGATTTAGTCACCCTAGCAAGTATCGTTTGTTTACAGAGCAGGTTTCAGTCTGAACAGCAGAGGGCACTTTTGTACGTTTGTTCTGTGCAAGCTCATCCTGCAGAATCCTGATTTTTAGGATGTTGTCTGGGGGGAGATGTAATGCAGCATTTTGTCCAGGCAAATTTGGTGCAGTACATGAGACAAGACAGGAAGTGGGAACAGTGCAGCATGTGGCTCTGCTGATGCTGATGCTCTGGCTTTTCAAATCCTATGTTCTTAGTTCATTGTCATGACACAACGAAAAAGGTTTCTCTCTTCTTCCCCTCCATCTTCAGCAGAAAATCCTCAGCCCAAATAAGATACATACATAGGCCAGCTGCGTTGTACAGCTTTAACACTGCTAGAAAATGCAACTGAAATCTCATTCCCAGCGTGCACAAGGGGAGAAGAGTTCCCTGTGCCCACATCACGTTTTTGTGAATGAAGGTTCCCAGCCTGAGCGAAGAGAGAGCTCCTTATTATCTGCAGCGTGGAGGATGTGATGTCTGCACTTTAAGCCCTTGCCTGGGATTGAACTCTGGCCTTGATGGGTTGTCTGTGTGAGAAAAAACAGCCCCCCAGGAGGGAAGGATGTTGTTATAGGTTGCTAATAGGTTACAGGTGCAGTATGGTTGCTGGTTTAGATTCAGCTTAAAGTGGCTAGATCTGTTCACGCCACTGCGTCCCACAGGTGATGCAAAGTGAGCTGGTGGAGTCTCTCTGGTGCTTGGGAGGCAGAAGCCTGTGGGGGCACCCTGACGTGGGACCAAATATTCACTACTCCCACACACACTTCATAAGTCCAGTTGTCACAATAATGTAATCTCTTGTGACAGTCAGTCACAGAACTCTGCTTCTTGGGGTGTGTTTTCTGGGGAAAAACATATGTTAATCCTGTACGTGTAAATAGAAGTTTTCTGTCCCTGGAGTTGTAAATCAGCATTTTTTCCAAGCATTGAACTTTCAAAAGTACTTGGGAGTGTGCTTGAAATACAGAAAGTATCTAGAGAAAGAGAGCTGTTTAATAAAAGATACTGTCTCTGCAAACCATGCTTTATCATCCATCCTCAGGTCACTCTGGACATGTCACACACTGTAAGATGGGCTGGAAGATAAAGAAATTTGCTGTAACAAACTCATCTTTGCCTCTTTTGGCATATGTGTAAAAGAGCGTTTTCCAGAGCTCTGGAACAACCCGGTTAGCATATTTTATTGTATTTAATATTGTTTAATTAGAAGGATTGTACTTTCAGCTGTGATAATTAAAACAACAATAATTATTGCATGGATTTGTTACTTATAATGCAATGGCTAATTAAACGGAGAAATGGAGAAAAGGGATTCATGAGCAAGCTTGTTCTTTGAGAAACTCTCCTCTGGTGTTTTTAAATTGATGGTTCATGCCTAATCAATTCATAGCAGTGTCTCATTATTGGTGGAAACAATGTTTGGTTTTGCTGGAAATTTACTTTCACCACACAGCAGCCTCATGTTATTTAATTACTTGGTTCGGTAAGTTACTGCAGTGAAGAATACATACTCCTGGAACGAAGGAGATGAAAGTTTTTGCATATATAAAGGAAAGAAGCCCCATCTGCCCTCAGGTTGCAGCCCCCTGTGTTTGTTTGAGTTGTTCTGGTTGGGGCTCAGCTATAATGACACTCCAGGAACAGAATTTGTGGAACCATTTGTGGGTTGGTACTTGATTTACATTTTCTTGCTTTTATCCCTCCCTCCTAAGTTTTCAGCTTTATCATCAGACCCCTTTGCTTGTATTAGAAACTGTCTGCCAAAACTAAGGGCCCTTTTTTACTTCTCTGTAGGGATGTCATCTACTGGCCGTTGGCACTGGCAGAATTCTTAGCATCAAAATATTATTATTACTTCTGTATCAGCAGAGATGTGTGTGGCACGCTGAAGAACCTGTCCAGAAGAAGTCCATGCTTCTGCAAGCTCACAGTCTGCGGTTGTGATCCTGTAACTTACTCTGCATGGCCCTTTTCTCATGGAAACCTAAGCAGTCAAGAACAGGACATTGGGACAGTGACACGGGAAGGGAGAAGGTAAGGTTTAGGACAGTCTGATTGCTTCGATAGTTACTGGGTGGGTGTTTTGTTTATCTGAATTGTGTATAAACAGTTGGCTCCTTTTCTACATCATGTTATTTTTAGACTGGTTATTTTAGACATACCATCAAAAAAGTCAGACCTCAACCATCAGTGTGGTTATAGATGAAAAACCTACCAAAAGAGAAAAAATATTGAAGATGCGTTTTATGATTGAAAAGGTTTGAAACACAAATTTTCAAAACTGAAATCAAATATGAATTGTCACCACTGGGTTAATCATTCTGCTGGACATCTTGCAGTTGACAGGAACTTGTGAACTGTGCTTGTGCATTGCGAATGTAAGAAGCTTTCAAAAACCTGGCTTGCTGTTTTATAGCAACTTTAAAAGGAACTCTGACTGCTCTATTCAAACTTACTGATCAGACAGCATCATTGTGCCTAAAATTCAATGAGTCCATCATGTAAATAGGGAAGTTGGGACACAGGTATATATAAAGTAGCCAGCTTAGAAAGCAATACAGTGAGTCAGATCCATCCTGTGTGTTGAACTGCCAAGTGTGAACACACAAGGACCTAATAATAATGGTTAAAAACTCAAGAGGTGCCCACAGCACCTTACTGTGAGGGAGTCATAGCCCAATCTTAAAAACAACGCAGCCCTCTAAAGCTTTCTTCTGATATGAAAAGACTTAGTGGTTAGAGTAGAAGTTACCTGTTGAGCAGATCGGGTAATTTTCCCTTTTTTTTTTTTTTTTTCCTACTTTCAAGCTGATACCTGGCAAGGAGAGGAGAGTGGGTCTCCATGTTGGCTCTCTAGTAGTGATATATACAGAGGAGCAGATGAGCAGACTGTTGGGGCCTGCCACCTTCCTGAACCAACAGTGTGGCTCTTAATAAGAGCTTGGACTAACCCCTTGAGTGTCTTGGCTGCTCTGGGCAAGCATGGAAGTAAGGGTTCGTAATTTAAAGTGTCTTTCTAAAGTGAATAGAGACCCTGGGATGGAATATTTGATATTAGAGTATTCTCTATGTATAATATCATTGGCTTCTGTCTAGCCTTTTTATTTCTTTCTGAGATGGTATCTTAGGAGATTGCAAAGGTCAGTGGTAGTGTTTTCTGCACTGGGTTGCCCTCAGAATTTTTCATCAGGCCTGATAATATCTTTGATCAGAGTGTAGATGGTGCAGCCTTTCACGGATCAATGTCTCCTGCCTTGGGCAGTGCATTTTCAATAAAACCAGTGACAACATCCCTTGTCTGGAGCTTATTAGTGTTCCTATGTTTGCTCTGTGGCTCTTCCTCTCAGAACTCAACGTCTTCCCTTGTTTTTAAAGAAAAGCTTTAAGAAAAATATGTTACAGTGTGTTAGAAGCAGCAGCCTTGGACTTGGACTTTTCATGGACTTGCCCTGTTCTCAAATTTCTATTCAAATTCTGCTTTCCCAACCCCTGGTAATATTCTAGGTGTTGTGTGGCTGGTCTCTGGGCAGCACAAACTTTGTTGTTGACTGATGCATCGGGGGAATTTGTAAGTGACACTGGAACAGCATAGAACATTTTCACATTTGGGAACTTAACCGCTGCATTTCTTCCTGGAGGACCAAGTTATTTTTTGCTACTATCAAAGGCTATCACCCTCCTTGACAGAGCATGTGCAGAACAGTTGTGCTCTTGTGAAACCTCATGGGACCCAGGGATCACAGATGAGGGAAGGCAGGGATGGGACTAATGATCATCTAGGCACAGGATCCATGCCATTCTTTGCACCAGAGCCAAGTGCAATCTACTGCTAGTCTTCCTTCCTTGTCCATAAACTGTCAAGTGTGGTCATGTATTTCTACTGGCAAATATGGGAACGAATAGCACCGTGACATGAGGCAGAGCTTTGTGGGCAGTGAGTAAGGATGCTTGATGCAAACTTTCTTCGTTCACTTCCAGTGTTGAAGCTTCGCAGTCGTGGCCTTTCCTGGCAGTTCTCAGGCACCAGGACTGCTTTTTGATTTTGTTCGTTTTTGACTAACTGGAGTCTTCCAAATTTAGCTGCTTTCTATAAGTATCAGAATTCACCTATAGAATTCACCAGTTCTTCTCTTCTCTTTAATTCACCACGTAAAGATCATACAAAAGGATCGTTTCATTGCCTTTGCTTGATATTTTCCAGAATGCGGTACCTTCCTTTTGCTGTCTGAAGGGCTTAGTATTTTGACTTTTTGTTTTTCTTTCAGTATTGAAAGGTTAACACCGACATTCTTTTACAAAATGCAGAGGAAACATGTCAGCACAGAGGCACATAATGGAGTTACATTTTAGAGGGTAAGTCCTGGTGCATTTGGTCCGACATGATTTGGAACAGGGCATCAGCTCTTGATTCGTGCCTGTCACCTTCACGCACAGCAGCGCCTGCTGTTCCTGCCAGCCCCTCTCTTTGCTTTAGGCACCAGGTGATGCTCGCAGAACACGATAGGGCTGGTGGAGCTCTCTGGGCAGCTGCAATGACAGACAACAGTCTTCAGGCCTCACAACGCCAGGTCCTCACAACACAAAGCCAGACTGCGCTATAAGAGCATGTCTCAGAGCTTTTCAGTGGATGTTTTTCTGTTTCCCTTTTCCTTCCTGCACCTATAATTTATGGACTAAGTGGTTTAACAGCTGGCAAAGCACTGAGAGGAAACCCAGCCCTGTTTTCGGGGTACGTACAGCAGACGCAGAGAGGCAGCAAGAGCTTGGAGGACCCTGCTTAGCCTGTTTTTTCGGAGCCTGTGCCACTAGATGGCAATGTGGTTCTCTTGGAGTTGAGAAGTCCCCTTTTTCTTTCCTGTAAAATTCTTGCTTTTTCTGTATTCATCTCTGCCAAACTGATGATTGCAGCCACCACTCCGGCAAGAGAACAGAACAAAATCATTTCATAGAACATTACAGCTGTTGTGCCTTTTCCTTTCTTTTTTGTCCCCCCCCCCCTTTTTTTTTCTTCCAGTTCTTTGTCCCACAGCAGGGTGCAGAGGTTTAAAAACCTTATTTCTTAATTGCTCTCCTTCTAAAAACAGAGAAAACACAGTCTCTTGGGAGCAATTAGCTGTGAGAAAAGCTTTTCTCAAACAATTGCCAGGAAATATTGTCTTGACCGATATTCCTGATGTAACACTGTCATTCTCAGTACTGTTATTCTAAGACATTCGCCTGCAAAAACAGCAGGCTACAGAACTGTAATGTACGATCTGCAGTTTACCACCTACCTCACCTTTTTATGTACATTTACTTTCAGTTTGTCTTCCCACCATGTTTCCTGTAGCTATTTTGTTTAGGAGAGTGAGGAGTTATTTGTGCCTCTTCTCTTGTGATTCCAGCGTACCAGGCCAAGGCTCTGACAAAACAGGGCTGAAAATTGAGGTTGCACCTCTGCTCTCCAGGTTCCTGATTGAAATTCAGTGTCTGTGTGCAATGGAGGAGGTCAGACTGCATGATTATAATGATCCCTAGCCTTAAAATATGGCAGTTTTGGAATACGTGAGACTGGTGAAGCCTGAATTTTGCTGGGAGTGATGAGGGAGCAACCGTATGTGAAGCGGGCTGCAGAGGCACCTTAAGCCAGGGCCTTGACCCTGAAAACCCTCTCCCCGTCACCCGGGGTGAAGGGGTGAAGGGTGGACAGAGATCAGAGGAATAGGTGGTAAACCTCCAGCACTAAAAGCCAAAATTATCGGTGGCCAGGAACTGCTGATAGATAGATTACATACCTACATGCCCATTTGCGCGCACAGACATGTTTGTTTGTATGGGGAACTTCAAATTTTGTCCCTTTCTACATAAATTCATGGAGGTTTGAGAAATAAGCCTTATTTTGTGGGACAGGGTGTGAACTGAAGCACCTTCTGGAAGACAGACAGCAGTGTAATCCTTTCATTCAACCCTGTCTGCAGCTGCTTTTTATAAACTTGGCATAAATATGTGCTCAGTGAGGCCAGGCCTGTGTAGCTGGAAAATATTTTCCACCATCCAAAAAAACAGAAGACTGGAAAAAGAGCCCAGAAATTGTGCATAACATGGAATGGCCTCGCTTGTGGTTTTTTTCCATGACTTCCTCGGCTCATTTTTCTGCTGCCAATTTTAGAAGCCCATAAGTCATACTTGTTAAACTTTCTCAGTTAAAATGTAACTCTAAGAACAAAGTCATATGATACGTTGCAGCCAAATAATCCTTGCAGAGCCTCTGACTCGGGAAAAGCGGCGCTGACTTGGCCGGCTCGCGGCCCCGCGCGGGCTCCCGTCCCGGGACAGGGAGCGCCGGGGTAGCTCGGCAGAGTGGGGCCCGGCTCCGCGGCCCTCCCGGGGGAAGAGCTCCCCACCGACTGCAGTGAGGATTTCTCCCTGCCCTTGCTAGGGTAATCATGTCCCTGGAGGGTTATATTACAGAACAGTCAGCTCAGAAGGGCAGAAATACCAACTTCTCTTCTAGAAGCACTTCACATAGGAAAGGAGAAAAGGAAATGAGAAGAGGCAGCACAGAGACTGGCTGGTCTGGCAGCAAAGCGCTGAGGCTGTTGTAGGTAGGTGCTGTTGCCATCAGAGTGAACTAGCTGAGGAGTGAGGAGAGAGTTGCCAAGAGTGAAAGTGAACTTGCTGGAGGGTTTGAAGAAAGGGCATCCTCACTTCAGCGCATTTTTAAGCGCTGAATCAATATGGAAGTGCTCACATGCCAGGAACAACTTCCCCCCCCGCACACACATGCACCAGTGTGACTCTCTTTTATAAGGTGATTTTGTTTACACCTGAGCCCTGCCTGGCTCTCCTGAAGCCCCATCTCTGTCCAGACTCTGTTCTGTTCCCTCCCACAGAATGAATCCTGGGTGGCTGCTGCGGAGGGGAGTCACTCCAAACTTACACTTGGGCAATAGCCGAGAGAGGAATTTGGCCATCAGCTCTGCCAGTAGTTCTGCTGCAGCCAGCGTTGTCCTAGGTGCAGCACGTGCACCCCTGCTGTCGTCCGTCCGCCTGTG